GATGGAAAGGGTTTCTGGAGTGACCGCTGCCCTAGGCCACAGGCTCCTTCCCGGAAGCCCTGCCAGGAGTCTCCTCCTCCTCCAGGGGAAGCTCCGCCAGCTCGGCCCCCACGTCGCTCCTCCCCATCAGGTCCTTCAGGGCATGCCCCTTACGGTACCCATCGAAGAGCCAGTCCAGCTTCTCCTCGGCCGCAGGATTGTAGTCCTTGAAATCCGCCAAGTTGAAGTCGGGTGGGTTGAGGCTCTTCACCTTGTCCAGGGCCCGCGTGGCGCCGACCTGGAGGATGGGCTGGTTGAGGAGGGCCACGTCCTCGGCGAACTGATCGGAAGAGATGAAGTCCCAGACAGCCTTCTTGCGCTCCCGGCTGACGGTGCCAGAGAGCTCAATGGCGTGCTCCTCCCTCAACTTCGCCACGCCTTTCTTCTCTTGGTCCAGTTCGGACCGGGTGGAGGCGAGTTAGACCTGGGACCCCTCCAGCTCCTTCTCGGCCTTGCCCAGCTTGGCCTTACGGGAGTCTACCTCCTTAAGGGCCTTGGTGAGATTCTGCTCGGCCTCCCGATTCTTCTTTTGCATCTTCTCCAAGTCGGGAGACAGCTCGGAGAAGCGGGTCACCAGGGCAGCACCGGCGGCGTTGGCCTGAAGAAATGAGAGTAAGAGTTAGCATATTACTAACCCCATTCAGAGAAAGAACAGGGACCCAAGGGGCCTAAAAGGGAGAGGGCTTACTTGGGCCTGAGCGGTGTAGTACATGTCCTGGAGATCGGACGGGCTGGCCAGCACCATCCATTTCTTGTCGCGTGGAAGGACTGAGCCCGTTACCAACTCGCGATCCACCCCGGGGAATTGGGTTCGGTCATTGATGGAGAGCTCCCAGGACGGGCAGAAGTGCCGGGGATCGTGCATCGTGGGGGCCTGCCCCGGCTTTGCGGGGTCCACGTGGCGGAAATGCCACAAGCTCGGGGGGGCTCTCTCCTGGGCGTGCTCCTCCGCAGAGCCTACCCCCAGGTGGACAGGGCCCCCAGACGTCAGCTGGAGAGGGCACTATGCCTGGCCCTGCGCAGGTTTCCTCCCGGGCTGGGAAGACTCGTCCTCTCGCCCCCTCTTCTGCCCCGTTGCCTTCTTTTTGCCGGGGACCTGCTTGGAGGGGGACTGAGCCTGAGAGGCCTCCTTCTGGGGGATCGAGCTGCCCCCAGGAGTCGCAGAGGCCTCAGGTGCCCTCTTCGCGGCCTCAAGCTGTGTGGTGGAGGCGACCTCCTCGGTCGGGGCGCCCAGTAGCCTGGAGAGCCTCTTCACTGCAGAGAACACCACCGGATTAGTGCTACAGGTCAGAGAAATAAAGGGGAAAAGGCAACAGATAACAAGGGAACAGGTGCAGTATTACAGGTATCTCGGTCGGCGGGGGAGAACGCCACCCCTCCGGGGGACCCAGACAGTTTCCCCAACAGCCCGGCAGCGGAAATCTGCTCGGTGGAGAACTTGGCTGCGTATAGCTTCACCGCAGAGCCCAGCAGCTAGCCGAAAGCCTCAGGGTCCAGATCCTCCGGACAGGGGTCGTCCCGGACCCCCCCAACCTTCCACGCATTGGGAGGAAATTGCGTGATTTTAACAAAAAAGAAGTCCCCCTTCCAGTTTTTTACGGAAGAGGGGACCCCGAAGAGAAGATCCTGGGTGCCCTTACCGCCGCAATTGCTGGCGGACCGGCGGGAGAAGTAGTACCACCCAGGGAGAGAAGCCTTGAGGGCATAGGAAGCACAGAAGAGAGAGAGAGAGTAGGGGATGGAGCAGATCTGACAGTAGATCAGGAATCCGATGATGATCCTGATCGAGTTAGGGTGGACCTGGGTGATCCTGAACCCCCAGTAGCTCAGGATCACGGCCAGGGCTGGAGGAATGGGGAGTCGGAACCCCGCGACCAGTTGCTCTTTGTAAATGGCTATAAAGCCCGGGGGAGGTCGGCAGGCACGATCGGTGGGTCCGGCGGCTCGCGGCTCGAAGGCCGGAGGGATGGAGAAAGAGGCGGCCAGCTCGGCCACTGCCCCGGGTGAGAGGGTGACCTCCTCCCGATCGGGGTGACCGTAGTTAAACTCAGGGTCATCCCCCTGCTCGGAAGCAGGGGTCCCCTCGGAGGAGTCCCTGTCCTCCCCAGCTCCCTCCTGGGTTCCGCCAGGGGAGTTATGTGGAGACTTGGGGGAGGGGATAGAAGTGGCTTGCTGCTCGATGAGGGCATCGAGCTCGGCCACCTCCTCTAGGAGTCGGGCAGAAGGAGAATGGGCGGATGGAGAGCTCATGATGTCGATAGGCTCTAACAAGTCAGGAATGGGGAAATTGGGATTGGAAGAAGAAGAAGAAGGAGGAGGAGGAGAAGATGAAGATGAAGACGATGAAGATGAGGACGAGGAGGAGATGAAGATCCTGGGGGCTCTACGACGGACCGGAATCTGGGATGCGGTGGAAGTGACGCCGGAATGGTCCGACATAAAATGCAGAAGGTGGCCAAAGGAGAAAAGGAAACGTGAAAGAGGAGGGGAGAGAACTTACTGATGATCGAAGTGAAAAAATGATGGAGAAGTCGCCGGAATCTGGGTGCTGGAAGCCGGAAGCCTTGTTGTTGGAAAATTGAAAATGCACGAAGGAAGGAAAAATGGCAAATAGAGTCTGAGAGAGTTTGGGAGTCCCTGTTTATAGGGGGAAGAATGGGGGGAAACGGTTGCTTGAATTCGAACCACCCCATGTGAACGCATTTAAGAGCGGTACGGAGACCGAGGGGACGCGACAACTGAAAGGACGCGGACGCCACTTCCCAATGGTAGCACTGTACCGGAGGTGACCGCAGCAGAGCAGTGTGACGCTGGGCTCCCACGTGCCAAGGGTACAGATTAGGTCTGCCTGGAAGACCTACCTAATCTATGGGGCTAGTGCAGAGTCCCCGTCCTGGACCTATATACGTGGTAGCCCAGGAGGGTCTGAGCTGGGCCTAGGCCCCCAGGCTCATGGGACCGCCCCGCGGTACCCCCGCCGCTAGGACTCCAAGGGGCTCCAGAGAGCAATCCCGCCTAGGTCGGGATCGTTCCCCCACTGTACGGGATTGAAGCTATTCTGGGCAGGTCCCGAAACGTACGGAGGTCGGGCTCCTAAGCAGGTATAAATAGTAACGCACACCGGCTGCGCAAGGTACGCTCACTATTGGACGATTATTCCCGACCATTCTACTTCCCATGAACCTCACTCACTGGAAAACTAACTTGACCGTCGGAGCGCCCTCGGGGACAACCTCAGGGCCCCTGCTAGTTCACTCTCTTGTTTGTCTTTTAGGCTTAGGACGCGCTCTTTCCATCAGCAAGCCGAGCTCATCAGCTCAGCTCGGTCCGGGGAAGTTCCGTGCTTCTTCAGTCGGCATTCTCAAAAAGCATCAAAACCAAAAGAACTCAAGCTATTCAAGGTCGACGTTCTCAAAAAAAAAAAAACTTTTTTAATTTATGGCAAAAATTATTATATGGCAAAATTACTGTATGGCACAAAAAACTTCATGCAAAATGTTAACAAATACTTGTCCAAATTACCTTTATGTGAAGGTCGGCGTTGTACTTGTACAGCTTCTATTTGACTGTTTGAGGCTTGAGAAATCGAAGGTCTCTATTGAATCTTCTGCTTGAGGCTTGAGACTTGAGTTTTGAGAATCTTTTGGAGCTTTCTTTTGAGTTCAACTTGAAACAAAATTGAAGAGAAGGAGAAAGCCAGAAAGGAGCTGCCGTTGGGGTGAAAGTGTGGAACGAGAGTGTCAGCCGCTGAATAGTTCCAATTGAATGATTGATACCCAATGGATTTCAGGTTAGGCTTAATAACTTAAAAATATTATAAATTTACCCCTATATTTTTTAATATTTATATAATATACCCCTGGGTCGGGTACCCGCGGGTTTTTATTTTTATGTTCCGTATCTGTATCCGAATATTATGGATACCCGACCCTATCTGCTCTGCTGATAAAAATCGGATCGGATATCCTAATTTTCGATGCGGGTCGGATCGGGTCTATCGGGTTTTTCGATTTTTTTGCCCACCCCTACCAAAAAGTAGTGGTTCTTAATTCCAAGAGAACTTCCTATTGATCAAAGTATGCCATAGTAGCTTTTAATCCTCGGTCTAAAAAGGGTTAATAATGCACCAAGCAACTAGCTCGATTGGAGGTTTAAGAGTAAGCCATTCCTTAATAACCTTGTTTGATAATGCTGCAATTGCCTTGTTGGAGGAATGATGGCTAGTGGAAGTAGGAAAAGAGGAAATGCTTCTTCTTATGGCAATGATTAATGATATTTTGCGATAAAGAAGATTGGTGAAACTGGTGGTTGTTTTGGATTTTTTTTTTTTGGATGAAGGCAAAAAAAGAGGAACTCATAGCTTAGTTTTTTGAGAGAGATCTCCATAATTTAGTTTTAAATATCTAAAATTTATAGTAGAAAGATCTCCAAGATGGTCAAAAATTTTGAGAAATCTTTTTGAATTTTGCAGTAGAAAGAAAAAGGTATAATGATTCCATGAAGTTGTTGCCTAATTTCTTGTGTTAATTTCCTACTGCCATTTGAAACTAGAGAAAAACAATGGGTATATTTGGATAGTTAAGTGTTTTCAAATAATATTTTGCTTGTATTAGAAGCAAATTTTCTAATTTACCTTATTATTTCACATGTATCACATCATAAAAAGTGTTACAGTAATTATTTCAAATAATTTGGTTCTAATAAAAGCATAAGAATATGCAAGGGATGAAAAGAGTATTTTCATTAACTCCATTGGTGACTGAGATTTTTATTTCTACTTGCTGAATTTAGTCGATTGCAGCGATTGTAAGAAATTAAAGTTTAAAGCAATTAAGTGCTGAAATTAAGAGCTGGGGGTCCAAAGTGCAATCACAGCATAGTTTGAGGGCGCAAAGTGCAATCAACACTGAAAACGTAATTAACCCTTTTTTCAAAATAATTTCTTTCCCGACTCTCTCCTCAGCGCCTACGTCTAATTCGAGAGCCTAAATTAGTAACTTCAGCAAAATATGGGCGAACTTCAACAGCTGTATTACCTACCCCCACCTCCACTGCCACCACCAACGGCACCGCCGCCGACGCCGCCTCCACCGCTGTCATCACATGATGAACGTTCTCCATCTGCTTCACATCAAGAGCCTCCTCCTCCTCCTCGCTTCGATCCTAGCCGAAGTATGTTTCCTTGTCCTTCCCTTTTAATTAAATTATTGTTACCCATTATTTATGTGTTTCTTGATACTTATAGGAACCATTTTGTCTAAATTCTCGAAAGCAAGAACTATTTTGGGATTTTGTCTCATTTTTTTAACAAGTTTTGAAGTGATGGGCTGCTAACTATAGTATAGTTCCCGGTAATAAGTAAGATTTGAAGTTTCTTAATATTGTTGTTTTGTAATTGTGCCGGGGGGGGGGGACCCTTTTTGAATTTCTTGATGTGTTTTTGAGATGCTGAAGTTGGTGTTTGTGGGATTTGGTTAGATAATTAGAACTGCTCATTGAGATATGTTTCGTAACGACTATTAAGAAAGTGCATCAACTGCAATATTTGGTATTCGAAATTTTTTTTGAAAATACTGTCAAAATTGGTTCCTGTACGAGAATCAGGTGATTGAGAATTGAGAAATACATGCGGAACTGTTAGCTTTTGAAAAGGATGTGATTGTATTATTTGTTCAAAACTCCAGAAAAAGTTTTTTTCTGTTATTTTTAAGAAGAAATCTTGACAACAAATGCTATGAAGGCGTTTAGTACTCCCTTGAATGAATAAAGACAAGAAAAATTTAAAAGAATTGAAAAAAGAAAGAAATTTTCCTTGAAGTAATTTCAGAAGAAAATGTTAAAAACTCTTGTGAACTCAATCTCTCGGAGTTTTCTCTCCCTTTCCTTCTTGGTCTGTTTTTCTGGGTTCTATTTTATTTCTTTTTCAAAAATATGATTGTCCAAATATTATTGAGTTTTTGGTTCTGGAGTCAACTTGTGTGGAATCGGACAATTATCACCAACTTTTGACTCAGTGAGTTGAATCACCAAGAATTGTCCTAAGTCCTACTGAGCTACTTCAAGTCTAGCATCTCCGTCACAAAGGAGTATGTTATCAGGGTGGTGGATCATGTTCTGGTCAGGACTTGGCCGAGTCCTTGGACTGTGTATATGAGAATTGCAAGTTTTGTTGGGGTCATTTGAAGGTTCATCTAAACTTTGATTGTTGGAGCATTCAATAGTAGCAAGAAGCAAAACGAATTTTACTTGTTTTGATGCTTTGTAGTTCTCACTTCACTTTCTCCCTGGTGATAGTGATAATGAAAGTCATGCTTTAATTTCCTTGTTTGAAGCATTATGAAGTCTAGTATATATGTGTATATATGTGGTGGCAACAATAGATAAAAAGTACAATAGATTATTTTTTTGGATAATTATTGGAGAATAAATAATGGACTTCCAAGTTTTCATGAGTGAATTCTTCATTCTATGTGATCAATTGCAGTATCCTGTATGAATAGGAATGTGAAAAACTGTGAGCTGATATTGTGGAATCTGTTCCAAACCATATTTGAAAGCAAAAGAAATCTATCTGGCAGTTAAATTTGTGAAAGTTACTTCTTGGAAATTCACTCGAATATTTAGAGATTGTATCATTTTATACTAAGTTCATTTGAGATTTTGTCATGTCTATATTGTGTTTTGAGTTTGCTTTTTGTGGGTTTTGTATTGTTGAAAGCAATCTAAACAAAAGCTGCTGCATATATGGATGTCTATTATCTAAGCAGCTTTGATGCTAAGATGTTTTTAAGACATGCACATGGTCTCAAATTATGAAATATCATACATGGTAAACCTCTTTATCTTTTTTGAGCAACTTACAAAGTTGTACCATGAACAAGACCAAGCACTCAAAGGTTTGGAAATTGAGTTGGCATCCATATGTAGGAATCAGGTGATTGCTATAAGAATGCCTAGGCTTATGGTGTATTTGCACAGTGGGTTGACTGGGTTCCCGGACTAAAGTTCTGTCTTAACAGGAGATTGGTTTGGATATAGAGTTGTTTAGTTTAGCTTCTAGAAAACAAAATGAAGGATATATTACTTACAGAAAAGGAAAATTGTAGTGAGCCTTTTAGATTATGAATTATGCTTTATCTGACATGTTACATTTCCTTTAATCTTTTGAAGTGGTTGGTATAATAAGAAGAAAGGCATTGATAAAGGATCTGGCTGCGGTGTACCACGCAGAGTGCCTAACATACTGCCAGGAACTTTTGGAACTCCAAAGCAAATTGGAAGAGGTTAGTCTAACTGGGCGTCAAATATTTCATGTTATAATCCAAGTTCGTTTATTATATTAAATGGTCTCAATGCTGAGCAATTGGCATCTTATCTTTTTCTTTTCTTGTTAACTTTCTAGTGGCTTATGAGATGACGTAAACTAATGGGCTACCACTAGGGTTACCTAAATTATGCATGCCCAGTTTAGAGGAGTTTCATATTGGTTGTCACATCTCTTTCCTATGTTGTCCTTGTTTTCTGAATGTGTTCGAATTTCCTTTGTACTGGTTGCTTGCAAAAATGCTAAAGAACTCATGAAGCAAAATAGGTTCAGGTGAAGGGCTTGATTGTGCAAGTATATTGTAGTGTAAACTGTCTAAACTAGATGGCTTAAGGAGATCATAAGATAGTGTCCATAAAAATTAAAAAAAATAAAAAATAAAAAGGTGAAAGAGTGCTTCTGGGGTGATGAAAACTTCTGGGAACAATTATAAAGATAATAGGGCTGCTTGGGTGACTTGGCACTACGAGCTAATTGGGAGCTTGTTTAGTTTTATGATTAGGAAGAGGTAAAATTTGTCCTTTGGATCACTTCTAAAATAATCATTGGCATCACACCTAGTTTCAGACTTGAGTTACAGGATTCGACAAAATCACAACAACTGGAAGAGGTTCTTTATTAGAATAGGAGTGATGTATGAGTTAGAATTTAGAACCAGAGAAAGCTGGGCTTTTCTCTAATTGACCAAGATTCAATAAACACTTTGTAGGTTTTCTGAGATTTAAAATTGCAGCTTGTGTCCAACTAATTTCAGATTATGATACCAAGAACCTAGATAAATGTTTAGGAAAGCATACTAAGGCAAATGAAATAATTCAAGATACTTTAATGCAGCTTGTTATTGCTCACAGGTTACCTTTTCTCATGTTACAATGCATGAGTTACTGTAGCTATTGGTCTTTAAGTTATATTAGGACTTTAACTGTTATTTCCTTCGATACCTTGATTCGGGTCCTAGTTTTATTTAGTTTCCCCTTGTTTTGATTTCTAGACGAGCAAGGCTTTCAATTTGAGTGTTTTTTTTTTTGTTGGGCTTCTACACATTAGTCCTTTTGGCTCTGCATTGAACTTATTTTGGTTTTGGGTTAATTACATCTAGACCCCTTGTAGTTTGACCAAATAACAACTACATCCCCTGGAGTTTGAAAAATAACAATCATCCCCTTTGATATGATATTCGCATGGCAAACACCCCCTCTGCATCAGAAATCTAACATCCGTTTTTCTCAGGTCCATTAAGGAATGGTGTGAAAATATCAAATTGCCCATGTAGATTTTGTAACATAGAATTTTCCTATTTTATATGATTTTATTCTTGTCATTTGAGGAATTCTAACAAAAAAGAACTACTGCCAAGAAAAATCATAAAATCCATGGGAACATCGATCTCTTCATCACCACCATTACTCATCTCCACCACTGTCAAACCCCAAATCAAAGCCTTCCAAATCATTAAAAGATGAGAGACACAAGAATCGCATTGAGAAGAAATCTCATAAGCCCTTCAGCAATTCATATGATCCATAGGCATCTATCACCCTCCTTAACCCCAAAATCACTGGGAAGTACTGTTAAATTCCACAACGATCCACCTTAAATATTACTTCTCCATCTAGAACATCAAAGAAAGAGGTGGAATTTTATGGTGCAGTTCTTATTGAGGAATTTGTCCTTATATTGTTCACGAGGAGATAGATGATTTGGATATTTTGGTTACCTGGGTTTATGGTGATATTCGAGTATAATGATTTGGAGTTTTGGATATTTGGTTACCTTGATATTCAGAGTTTAATTGCGGATCACTCAGGCTCGTGTTTTTGATGTTTGATTGCTGATTGGAGATGGCAAGGGTGGTTGCTGTGAATTTAGGATTTTGGAAGCAAGCAAAGTGTGCATTTGATTGATTTTCTCATTCTGATCTTCATTTAACTTGAACTCTTGGGGTGGGTTTGGTGGTCCCAAGGGAAGAGAAGGTCAAGGATTTAATAGGTATATTAGTATTTGGTGGAGGTTTCACCACTGCGTAGGAAGGATTTCATGGTGGCTCTAAGGAGGGAGGTTGTTGGTGGGACTTTTGGAATAGGGCTTCTGATGGAGATTGAAGATTTCTGTGATACAATGTGAATCTGATGAAAGATGCAAAAAATGAAGTCGCATAGTCATTTTTTCCTTTTCTGTAAAGATGGGTTTTGGTGCTTCTTTTAATTTTTAATTTTTTAGTTGTCATTATTTTTTTTATTGGTTTTAGTTCAGTGCATTTTAGTCCCAAAATGAGTAATTTAACACCGTTTGGCATCAGTTAAGTCAAAGGGGATAACTGATATTTTTTAGACCTTAGGAGGTGGAGTTGTTGTTTGGTCAAACCACAATGGGTGTGAATGTAATTGACCCTTTGGTTTTTTGTGATTAATGGCTTTTTGCCTGGATATTCTAATTAATGGTTAAAGTCAACCCCATAATCAAGGTTATCTCTTGGTTTTCCAAAATATGAGCTTGATCATGAATGAAATTATTTTCTGGATTTTTCTTGCTATTACCTGCGTGAATTGGCATTAAAGTGGATGTTCCACAACTTGGTAGATCTTTGAGCAGCTTAGGCTCAAGGAGATTGAAGGATGTATTGGGTGCATATTGCATCAGATGGGCAGAGTGAAGCATTTAGAAGCCATGGAACCTCATGTTAAGAGCAAGGCAATGATAAAGTTTTGGACATATGAGAAGGTAGGACGGAGAACTATCCCCATGCGTCATGAATGGATGGTTCAGGAATGCAGCAATTATGCCACCTGTTGTGATGTTCACCCACATGAACTTAATGACATTCTTCTCAGCTATCTATCTACGTCTTTAGAACTTCAAGTGGGAACTCTTATCTCTAGACAGCAGCAAGTTACTAGATGTTCCTGCCATTTGTTAGATTGACCTAGAATTAAGAAAAAGATATTTACTTTATGCCTATAATGATGTAAAGAAGCCCCAACAACATGGGATACAACTAAATTTGGTGAAATGCAAGCCAACATGATGTTGACAAAATCTCTTCTCAGTCATCTTACTTCCAATTTAGTTGCTGCATCCTTGTGTTTATGGGGCTCAACTTTGAATGGTTGATACAGGAAGAGAGCAAAAAAAAGAAAAATTGGAGAGGCTTGATTGGAACTCCATTTGATTGCGTTAAGAACAAACAGAGCTTGAAGTGTAAGTTTTATCTGCAAGCTTGAAAATTTTTGGATGCTAGAGATGATTCTATAGATTGAATATTGTATGTTGTTGCTGGGTTGAATAGATTAGCTTGATAGGCTGACTTTTTGGTGGTGCAATGCAAAATGAGGTCAAGGGCGAGTTTTCCTCAAACCCAGTCTTATTGTTCGTGGGTACTATTCTGTTAGTTATTGCAGCACTAGGTTTTTAAGCTATTTTAGGTCTTTACTGTATTTTTCCTTTACTTTTGGGTTCAGGATTCCTCTTTTTTATTGCGTTCCCTTTTATGGTGATTTCTTTTTCAGGGTAGAGTTTTAGTTAGACCCTTTTAGGGTTCCCCTTCTATATATCTGTGCTTTTTAGTTCTGGCTGTGCATTTAAATTTTTCAGTTTTTTCGTGATTACAGTAATTGCCATTTCTGATAAGTTTATTGTGTAGAACTTCTGAGTTTGTTGTTTTAAATTCAGCTGCCTAATCAAGTTTTTCCCTTGGTTTTCCCTGATAACCTTTAATCAACTTTGTTGGTTTTCCCATGTCACATTCCCAGGAGGTTGATTCTGAAGATGAGCTATGATAGAGCTTACGTCAAATTTTCCAAAATCTTGAACTTTTGTTTCCCTTGAATTGGTTACCTGCTGCATCATATTGTTAGTGAATTCAATAACAGACATGTGCCAGTCTACAACTGGCACAGATTGCAAATTCTAATCACGAACAGTTGTAGAATGCCTTACTCAATATGAGCCTAATTAGACATTATATTTAGAAGTTGAATATGAATAGTAATAGGTCTGCACCTCAAGGTTAATGCACATTGCCAATCTCACAGAGAGGAATATGTAGTTTAATGAGTTCCAACTTATCTATGTAACCTTGTTTAGCTTTATTTCCTTCAAGTTTTATAGAATTTGCTTCATTGTGTTTGAAATGTGCGTTCAAGCTTTTGTAGCTTACTTTACATGCAATGATAGGACAAAGATTATCAATCATGTTAGCAGATGAATTTAAGTGCTCCTCATTATGACACAAAAAAATAATAAATACCATCAATTGCACTAGATATAAAGTAGTATGTGAAACCTTCTTGGATTAGGTTCTGAATGGAATTACCACTGCCAGACACACAAACACCCAAAAAGAAAGAAGAAATTAAGAAATAGGTAGAATGTTTTTTATGCTTTGCTCTTTCTGTTGTCTTCTAACTTTAAGATGATGAAATAAAATTTGAGAGTTTCAGCAAAATAATGTGATAGGGTGATCTAAATTTTGATGTATTCACAGAGTAATTGACAGGAGCCTTGAACTTCAAGTTGTTCTATTTGCTGATATAATTTTCAGTGGACAAACTGAGGGAAGAGTTTAAAGAAGTACAATACACTAGAATTTAATTTAAAGGTGAACTTTTTCCAAAAGTAATGTTTTCAGTTATGTAGGCACGGTTTTAGTGATCACCATTTTAATCATTTACTTTTTATTTTCTATGAAATTGATAAATTCATGTATCTTTTTTCACCTGACTCAAACTTCTGAAATTAAGTTAATAGAATGGTCACAAGTAGCTACTTCACAGACATTTATTGATCACAAACACAAATAAAGCAAAAAGTAAGAAATTTGATATGGCCACATGCTGGAATGAGTAATAATTCAAATAAAAAGTGAAACCTGGGCATTGTGATAGGCTCAGTATTTATTATAAGCTAAGATCAGAGGAGTACATTATGAGACATGTTAGGCAACAGGCTAAGATTCCAGGTAGTGTGGATTTGAGTATATTTTGGGAAGAGTTGTTATGCATCATGACTGGAAAACATTGACCCTGCTTAGGATAAACTCAATTTAATTAGTTGAGCGGAGCTGGGTAATCTTTTCAAAACTCCATTAAGGTTTCTTCAATCATATAGCTCCATTATCTTGTAACAAAAAAGAGCTAAACTCGTCTGTGCTGAAGATGTATGTTCTTACTGCAACGTTTCTCACTATAACTGAATACTTAGCTTATCTTCATGAGCATTGATCTTTTTATTGGAAAATCAGCTTAACATGTTGCATTTCCTCGGCGATGCTTGCAGTCTCATACAGATCTGAAAATTCCAGAGAATTCCAAGAAAGAAACCATAAGGCCCCCAAAACGCCTGAAGAAATCTCGTTGACTATCATTACAATTGTAAGGTTCATCCTTCTTTTTTTTTCCATTTGTTCTCTTTGTATGCGACTAAGACCAAAAGTGTACACTGTGGAGGAGGATTAAATTAGTGTTAAAGAATCTGGTCCTGAGCAAATAAAGAACAGGTGTTGAAAGGTCACTATACCTGATTTCAGTTTTCTTTTGGGGCACAGTGTGCACTAGTGTAAATATCTTCAAAAGCTGGAGCTCCACTGGTGAGCCTTATGGTATAGCATGGCTGGTTGACCTTTTACTCCAATCTGTAATGCATGAAATTCTTGAAATTGAAACTTATACTAAGCTGCTCAAAATGAACTTTCTTTGTAAAAACTGAAACAGGGTAGTCAGAAAGTTTGAGAGTTTGATCTTCACACTGGTGGACAAAATATTATGACTTGGGAAATTTGAAGATGTTGCATTCTGTGATTGTAATAGAGGAACAGAATAGCCCTGTTTACATGTGAGATCATCGACAGAGAAGAGGAGGTAGATGCTAGTAGTTCCCCTGGCTCTGCAGATTGGATAGGTTAAATTTGCTTATTTTCACTGGTTGCATATCTATCGCCTGGCTGTTTTTGTGGCGCTAGAAATGTTGTAATGATGTTTTTGGTGTAAAAATTGATAAAACCTGTATGTATCAAATTAGTTTAAAGCATTCTCTTAATTAGTGAAGAATGCACTTCTCAGAAAGTCATCTATTAATGTTATCTAATTTTAAGATGAAGAAGTGCCTATTTTTACACTTGGATGTGGTTGTTTTACTTTTGCAGGTAATTTATGCAGAACTATTATACTACTCTTCGTTATACTTTTATTTTGAACTCTAATTGCATGCTGGCTGTTTACCTTGTTTGATAGATGAACCATATGAGGAAATATATAATTGGAATGTGTGCAAAGATTTGGATTCCATCAGCAATATGCTCAAACTTGGTTTCAATTAAATCAGTGAATAAGTAGATTCTAACGCAATTATACTGTTTATACTACAAAAGTTGAAAGATTATATATGTAACGTCAAAAAAGCTGAGGACTCCAAGGCTCTTATGTTTGCTCAATTTATCGAGTTCAATCCACTGTTTGTTTGGTGCTAAATCGGGAAACTGGGCAAACGCAGAATACAGGTGGGAGCGATTTCCAGGTTTTTACTATGTTTTTATTGCTGATGATTGCTTTTGCTTCTTGGAAGCAACCCAAAACGGATCACATCCTGCAATCATGTTGTAAAACCTCAGGAGAAATAATAAGCGAAAGCAAGTCCTCTTTGCTACTTTGCCTATTGCATCCACTGGTTTCCCTTTTGTTAAATGGCGCCTGACAATTTTAAAAGCAACTCTTGTTAATAACTAGTACCCTAAAAAGCTTTTATATAGGTCTTTTTTTTCTTTTCTGCTCCTCCATCCAAACCGAAATTCGCATGATATTTTCAGTCAATAAGTTGAAAATTTCTATCTAGTTCTTTAGACTCTCGGCATTCAAGCTCAATTCTCTCCATGCAACAAAGAATCAAGAAAGTACAAGGAACCGGCTGATACAAAGAACTGTTGCCAACCGAGGGTGTGAATTGAACTGGAGAAAATACTCAATAGCCATATTTGGCAGTTAAGGTGGCCCTTGAAACCTTTGTTGGAGGCATCATTGGCGGTCTTGCCATTTGTGGCTTTGACTTGAGTGTAACTGCAGCGTAAACAGTATAAGAACTTATTCCCATTGCGAGAAGAACCTTGGGATTGATTCATCAAACTTTGTGCTTATTCCTTTTTACTTTTTGGTGCCATTTATTCTGCCGCTGATTCATTTACTAACTATTCATCTCCTGCTGCTAAGACAACTTTGTCATCTCCCACTGTATTCCTATAATAACTCCTTAGATTGTCCAAACTTGTCTAAACTTATTTTAGTTTCCTTATTTCATCTCCTATCATCTATTATGATTTCAGGAAGTAGTAGAGGATTTCAACAAGTGCTTATACGGCACATTTTCAATGAAGCAATTGGTTTGCAGAACCAACTACTCTTAGAGTAGTTATCCACCAAAAGAGTTAGAGTTAGAGTAGTTAGTTACCAAGAGAGCTTTAAAACTCTACTTAGGTATAGGTCAAGGGATCTCTTGACCTGCATTTTAAAAATCCAGGCTTTCCTGGAGATTTCGTCAACGAGTGCGTAAGTGCCCGTCTAGACTAATGATGGTTCAATTCCCTCCAATTTCTTCGGAAAAAAAAATTGGTTTGCAGATTTTTTGGCCGAAGAGAGTTTGCAGCATCAACAGGAGGATTTCATTTTGTATTCTGATTTCCCTCTAGGAAATTTTACCATTTACTTGGATGATTTGAGGGCAACCTCATATCCCACAATTACCGTAAATCATACATCTAATCATATTTAATGCTAGTCATTTTACTTGCTACAAAAACAAAGATTAGAAAAAAAAAATTGTAAAGCCCTAGCTCAAGAAGTCAGGTGAGCCCTTGTCCTTGATATCATTTTGCATAGGATTTGCAAAAGCTTAACATGTTTCTTGCTTTTCCTCTTTTGCTACATTACCATTTTTCTTGAAGGGAAAAGCAACTATATTAGAAATTAGAATAATTTCACAGTTTCCATCTTGGGCATCTTAAAAATTCATGCAACAGTATATAAAGTCACCACAAAAAAAAAGGGAAGTGGATGAACAAAAGTTATATTGCCTTTGTTTAGAAAGATGGATCCGTCTACAGTGGGAGCTGTACAGCACTTCCTACTATACGAAGTGGGTACGTGTCAAAACAAGGAATGGACACATGGGATGATATGAAAGTTAAATTGGTTTGTAGTTGGGAGACCAAGTAGGGTGGATGCACTTACAAAGCGCCTAAATGTGACAGTTAATATTCTTAATTCCAATATTCTTTTATTTCTTTTTCCATCTTTTCATTTTCTTTTTAGACCTTTTCTTTCATCAGTTGCATTTCGTGTAATTATTTTTCCTTTATATATATATATATATATATATATATTAATTTGCCGTTCAATTCCCATTTTAGTATGTTATTAAATTGGCTGCTTTCATGTTTTACTTAGTGGACGCTCAATATTTTCACCATGTGGCCATATTTAATGATAAATACTCTGTATGCAGTATATTTTGTGGCCATATTTATGAGATTTTGTGATATTTTGATCTAATTCAAGTGTTAAAGATGTTATTCTCTTAGAAGTTGATGGTTGAGCTTTGTGATTAAGTGTTAAAATTTTTGTCTCTTTTTACTTGTTTGGTTGGTTGATTTTGTAGGAAAAGGGACAAAAGATCTGAATAAAGTTTGGTCATCAAAATAAGCAAAGAAAGCAAGACATGATTAGATGCATTAAAAGTGATCATGAGGCAGGGGAACGAAACCTTATGAGGTTTCTGCTGAGGATTCCAGGCAGAATGGTCTCTGATTCGTTTCAAAATTTTTGCAAAGAAACCAGCCCAGAAACCTCATGAGGCTGCCTCGGTTTCTTCTGAGGATTCTTTCAACCAAAAAATTCATGCAAGTTGCATGCACAACTTGTGCAATTTGGTTCCTTTGGTCATACACTTTCTTGCTTTGGAATGAAAGATTAATTAGACATTTTGGTGGTTAGAAGATCAAGTTGAAGCAATTTCAAGAATATCTTTGTGTCAATTCAAATAATCTAAAATCATCTAGATTCCATGGAGCCACTGTCTTTAACTTTTGAACACAACTTTTATTTTGTATTCACATGGAAGAAATGGTTATCTTTTGTCTTGCATAGAACAATGAAGGGTTATAAATAAGAGTAATACTTAGACATAAAGAGAGGCTGGCTAGTTAGCTAGTAGTTATCTCAGTGTTAGTAGTAAATTCTAGTTTTGTTAAAAAAAAAAAAAAAAGATCAAAATTGAAGATCTCTTGGTGAAGAACTACTTATGTACCAAACTTGAAGAACAAAGTTGTAAAGAAGAGTTTGAAGAGCTTGTTTTAAATAAGATTTCATCAATTTTAACTCTTACTTCTTCATGTTATTCATTTTCTGTTATAAGAGTAACATGTGCCTTAACATATCAAATTTCATGATTAGCTAAACTATTTGTTCATAGGGATAAAGATGAGCTTGTAGTTTTTTTGACTTGGTGTTAATTTGTGTTGAACTTGGCTATTTTGTGACTTGTTAGTTTATGTATTTGTACTTCATATTTACAGATATTAGATCACCAATTATGAATCAACCAAACATGTGTTTGTGCATAGAACTTGTCTTGCATGTGTAGTTCAAAATATATAAATCCTAAATTACATGTACATGTTAGTAGGTGATGGATTTAGGTGGACTCAAGTTTATAACTTTATTGTACTTCATGAGCTTGTGCTCGATTAATTCATGCAAATAGTTGAAGATTAAGTATATGTCCTGTTTGATAATCCAATTTAGCACTTAATTTAATGGATTCAGATCTTAATATATTCAAACCATTAGACAACCAAAAATTGAACATCTGAATTAATTAAGTGACACTGAATTTCCTAAACAAAACTTGCTCCCAAAATTAAGTGATAACCTATTCACTTATCACTACTGAATGTGATATGCACTCAAATGTATTAAATTTAATAGTTAACAATTCAATAACATAATGGATTTAGATTTTAAATTTTAGATTTCAGACTTCAGTTTTATCAAACAAAAGTTTGTTTATTTGTGAAAGCAAATTACAAAATGATTTAAAAAGTTACCTTGTTAATAAGTCACAAGTCTGTGGTTTAGATCAACCAAATTATTTGCCTATCTTGAACTACAAGAGATTCATAACCCTTTTAAATTTCTTCAACAAGGTTTTTAGTTTTTTTTTTTAATTTTTTTTTAAGTGTAAGCAGGAGGACTCGAACCCAAGACCTCTTATTTGCACTCTCAC